ACACACACACACACACACACACACACACACACACACACACACAGGTACATTAATTCATATACGTGCACTCACCTGCTGAGACTCTAACTCTGAAAGAAAAAATGATGCAAATCAGTAACAAAATGAATTATGTAAAAACAGAAAAAGTTGAAATGAAAACATGTTTAGATGCTGCGCTGCATGGCAGATGTTAGCTGCTGACAAAAGTACATTTTACAGTCTGTCAGTAAAATATCTGCTGCACCAGTGGGTCTTTAATGGATGAACGGGTAAATCTAATAAAGCTTAAATCTTGGAAAAATTCATTTATCTAAAAAAACAACAAATTCTGCATACAACAAAAATACAATCAGAAATGAAATGAAAGGTAGCAGAAGAAGAAAGAATCTTAGATTTTTCAAGAAAACAAATTCAATGAAAAATAATCTTCGAATACCAAACACAAAACAAACAAAAAAACAAAAGGAAAACATATAAAGGTTTAACCCCTGTTCTTGAGCAACATATCTTACATTATACCATTTTATATTTCTCCAACCTTTATCATTCTCTTAAATATACACGCTGATCTGTCATTTTTAACGTCATCCTCCAGATTATTCCATAATTTTATTCCCTGGACTGTAGCACTCCTTTCCCTCAAACTGGTTCAAACTTTAGTTCTGACAAACATTTCTATCCCCTTACAGTTGTAACAGCTCTCCCTTTTAATGGAAGGTAATGGGTTTAATGGTTTTTTAAAGCTGTGTGAAGATGGGAACCAGCCTGGCTCTCTGCTCTGAGCTCTCATACGACAGACCATACACATTCCTTCAGGGGTTGTTCGTTAACTCTCAGTTTAACTGTAAAAGTTTCTGCCCTGTCAGTAAAATATCTGCTCTGACCAACTTTAAACACGGATGTTTCTAAAACTGATGAAAATAATCAGGACGCAGGAATAAAGAGTCTCGTCAGTAAATCCTTTGTGTTCGACATAATGACACTGTTTTTGTGTGACATTGTGAAATGTTGCAGCATCAGATGAAATTATCAGCAGTATCATAAAACACGGCGCTGGCTCAGAGAGTACTACAAACATATTTGTACACACAGAAACTCACAGCGCCTGCATTAATGATGAAACTGAATGAAACGAGACTTAATCTGAAGAAAGGCGCACTCTTACTTTTGATCATTGTCACAACTCTCAATGGGAAGCCATTGATTTGTGGCAGAAAGAGGCCGTGAGCTGCTGGAGAAATGAAGATTGGAAATATTGATAGAAGTCGTTTGTAGCGGGAGAGAGGCAGAACTGGGTCCATTTCACCAGAACCCAGCTCCATTTTAGCAATCATTTGTCTGGTTTCTGGCGTTTGGCCTCGTGAACGGCTTCGATTTCTGAGCTGCACTTTATTACTGTATGAGAAAACAGCAGGGGGCTGATAACACACACACACACACACACACACACACACACACACACACACACACACACACACA